ATATATATAAGCATAAACTTATATATTTTTTAAACTGAATTGCAAATAAAAATTTTCTCATTAGGAATGTAATTTTTTCTTCATAATATTGCAATTCTTAAATACTGTATTATATATATAATTAGCATAGCAATTTCCATCAATGTATTAAATACCATAAATTAATAAAATTTATGGTAGTTTATGTTATAGTTGGAACCATACATATTTTGAAGGTATGTTTCATTTGTTTTAAATTTATTTTAATTTTTTATTTTATGTTATAGAAAACAACACTGGATAGCTATTTTATAGCATGTTAAGTTACCACTATTAATTTAAAAAAATTGTAAATGAAGTTAAATGTACAGTGAAGCATCAAAAATCCAGATTAATTATGGCTGGACCCAAATGATTTTCAAATATACATGTAAATTAGCATTTTAAGTAAACTCCAAATATACTCTAATTCTAGTTTAGACCAGTATTTCATAAGGAATGTAGGAATACTTACAATGATTTAAGATGTAATTTATAGAATCATTGCATTTAAAAAAATTACAGTTTAAATTACTAAGTCCAAAATTTAAAAACAAAAATACAAATTTCGAATGAATGTTAGAACAAACAACTGAAGGAGGAAACATCACTGGCCGAAAGAACAACAACAAAGTCACTATCAAAAGGGTTAATAAGTGTTTTTCAATGGCTGAATTCAGATTTTTGACACTTCACAGTATATATATACATACACTAAATTTAAAACTAAGTTNTAATTACATCAAATAATTTTAACATTACCAAGAAAAGCTTATCTATAGTAACTTTCTTCTTTTATAGGAATTGTTTATAAATACAATTATTCCACAATTGTTTTTTTTTTTCTGAAGAACTTTGATTTATTCTTTCATAATATTAGAAATTAAATCTTGCTATTGTATGATTCCATGATGATTTTTGGGATTTAAAAATTTCAAAAAATACATTTAAAAAATAATTTTTCAATATTTAATGATTTATTAAAACAATTTAAATGTATTTAAAGTTACAGTTCGTGATTAATTTAGTATTTAAAGTTATTTTACTTTCTGAATTCACATTTTAATGTTAAAAAAACAACAAATGGCATTTTTGAAAATATATATGTTTATATTTACGACAACGAATATTATTTAAATGCCAAAATCTTTTTACTTTCCAGTGTTCTGACAAGTTAGTCTATCATGAAATAATATTTAACCACTCACATTCTTGAAAAATAAGAATTTTAAGTTCAGGGGAAAATGCACATTTAGAAATGCCATTCTTTTTTCCAAAAAAATAAAAAAAAATTTAAAATGACAACAATTTCACTGTCTTCTGTTACAAAATGATAAAATTAAAATATATTTTTTCCTTTGTTTCATGACAAAATATATATAATTCCTTCTATAATTAAAAGTTTTAAATTTGCATGGAAGGAAACATTCTATAATTATATTTTGATTAGTTAAACATTATTAATTTAAAATGAATAGGGTTTTTCTTAACAGCAGAAGCCTTTGTTCCTGCATTTAATGATTATGACAAAACATTTCAAATTGCTTTCAGTTAAAATATACAAATGGGTTACATTTGGGACATTAATTTGTCACAATTATATACAATGTTGCTATTTAAGAACATATTCTTTCTAACTGATAAAGGCAACTGATATTAAATATTAAAATGATGTCAAATGCCAGTTTTTATGTATTAACAATGAGATGTTAAACAAACAGCACAGTTACAGATGAGCAGATATGTACAACTGTACAGTAGTTCTGTACTGTTTAACTACGTGCTTATTCTTCTCTCTCCACGTATCCTTTGTGATCTACGGGTGGTGGTTTGGGATTCTTTACACTGCTGACAAATGAATTCTTCAGGAATATTATTTCGTCTTATCTTCGCACAGGACAAATGAACCCATGTTAAACATTGAGAACATTCAATCATTGGCCGTCCAGCAAAAGGTTTCATGCAAAAACATGTGATGAGATCATAAGAATCTCCTTCTGCAAAAAATTTTAAAAATATATTATACTTTTGTAATTTACATATATAAAAGTTTCAATCAGTTCATAAAGCTAAATTCTTAAATAGCTAATCATTATACATCAATTGTTTTGACAGAAATGCAAGAGCTATTTCTTTAGTAATGCATTTTAAATGACATTATTATGAAATGTTCAACTAAACAACAAACAATGGATTAAGTTTCATACATTTTCAAAAAAAAAAAAAATTAAATTGCTAAGTTTACAAAAGTAAAATTGTTCCTTATTCAGCAGTGATTTTGACCATCCACAGTTTGCAAAGAATATAAATGAATGATATAGAACACAAATTGATTCATTGAAGTTAAAACAGGTATCATTGAACATATGTTATATTCAATTGTTCTTATTTTTTTAACACTTTAACAGGTGCAGTCAATTTGTTCGTGTTAAACAGATGAGACAGTATCACAAACTAACTGAACTTCTAACATTACCTCCAGCCTGTTTTGTTTCCAGACAAACCTTTTCTACATCTGCTATCCTTGCATTCTTTTTTCATCAGATACACAACTATTGCAAAAGGAATTAGAAAACATTAAAACTTTTATTTTGCTAGCAGGATACCATAAAAATAAACTTTACCAAATTAATCAAATGAATCCAATATTCTTTGTTTCTTATTACTCAACTCCAATCAAAGATGCAGAAAATTTGTCATAATCACTTTTCAGTTTTGAGAAATTTCCATTTACTCTCTGCTTCATGTAATTAGTTCTCTTCCTGTCTATCCATTCTTTTCCAAGTTATCTTTGAGAGGCAATATAGTCTCAGATGGAGATCCTGGACACTTATGGAATTATCTGGAGTCTAAAATTTCTTTGACTTCAATATAATAAAAATATTAAACCATGTCACATCCAGTCATTAAAATCTAGAATAGTGAAGCACCATAAAGATTTTGTGAACAGAAATTCAATTAAATTGATTAATGTAGTTCTAAATAATAATTGCCAGCTTTTTTGAGTTCATAAAAGGATAGAAAAACCACATAAAACTCTTTGAAACTTAATATTGCCAATCAACAAGTCAACATATATTATGAATATTTTATCATTTTTTTTTCTCTGCTTTTTAAAATATTTACAATATCTCATCTATAAATCTTTGTATATAGTCATTACTTTAGTATATTATTTTCTATTTTTGCACAATTTTCTCTCTCCATTTGTAGTAATATTTTGTTTAAAATTTTTTTAATGAAAGTTTATACTTGCTTAATATATTGTACTATTTATGTTTCATTTATAAGCAATGGGTAAGATATCATCCATCCATATGCCAGGATTAAAAATAATTACAAAAAAATCCAGATCCAGAATATAAATGAATTATTCCTGCCTGACACTTATAGATCATTTACCACTTTAAAATTTCTTCAAAGATTTAAGTGTTTTCATATCATTATTAATTGCTCTATTGTCAATGCAAGACACCAGAAATATTTATTATATATTAGTAATGTATCTTATGTATTTGGCAGTGACCATAGCACATACAGTATTTTTAAGAATTTATATACCTTTTGGATTAAACATTTCTGTTTGTAATTTCCTAGGCAGATATTCCTCAGTTAATGTCAAGCAAAAATAAAGCACATTTTGGGATCTAATTTCATTTCAATAAAATTTTAAATAAATTTCTTCTGCATTAAACAGATGAAGAATAAACAAATTATTACACACTGTTACATGCCTCTGCAGTAAAAGTCTACACTTTAAATGAAAAGACAATTTAATAAATACTCCTAGACTAATCAGATACATAATAGCATCATTCTAAAACAGTCTCAAAAAATTTTGAACAAATTGATCTGATTAAAAATATTAATATTTTTTAGAAATCATGGTAGAAATTTAATGGTAAATATATCCAAAAATTTATCATTTTAGTTTCAAAATGTTATTGTTATATCGTTTCACAATCATATTTGCATGAAAATGTAGATATATATTCCAATCGTATTTTTTGCAAGTTGATCTTCAGAATATCTTGATTTCTAAATTCTCTTCATAAAGTGTCAAAAGATCATATTGTTTTAGCCTAATAATAATGAATAAGAAATTGAAGAATTTTAAACTTTCAATGGTTTTAAATCAGAACAGTTTTTGTAGACATTTCTCCATTCTGATAGTACATAATAAATGCAATATCTGCTGCAGTATTTTTAATACATGTTTTAGACCAAACAGTCCCTATCGACAGATCATATTTCTTTTAAATTTATTTTTAAAAAATTATGTCTTTGATAAATTTCTATTTTAGTTCTAGAAGACTTATCATTTAATATTTAAGAAATATGTAAAAAAAAATAAGAACTCCATTATTTCATGGATTTTAGAACAGGATTTACTAATGTTCTGCAATATTACTATATCATCTTACACATTTTCATGGAAAAGAAACATTCTCTGGCAAAATGTAATAAGATATCAAATTCCAACACACTCTTTGATATAATAAACTTATATTAAAAGAATACACTATTCATACAGCCTTCAGGCACAAAATTCTTCAGTGCAATAATTCAAAAATCACTGCAACTTGACTAATTAGCATCTTTCTCTGTTGCCCCTCTTTTCCACAGAAAATGTAGCCCATTATCTTCCACTTTAGTAAACAATAATTGTTGCCATTTGCATCTATATTATGTTTCAATATAAATGGCATTATCTACGCAAAGTCGTGACATTTTACTTAAAAGAAATTAAGAAATACTTGGCTTCCTAATCCATCAAGAAATTATTTATATTTATATATACATTTAAATTTTCAAGCAAAAAGTAATTTGACTGATATTTTTAATATTCTAATTCAAAAAGTATTAAACTACACTTCTATTTAACATTAAAAAACCACATTTTAATTAAAAATTAATAAACCTATAATTTTTTATTCTTTATAAATTTTTCATTTATTCTACAATGATTAAATTTTATAATGTGGAATTTATAACTAAAAAATTTTTAATTTTTATAAATTCAATGTCAGAATATTCAATTTAAATTTTCAACAGATTGTATTTATAGGTATTGAATTTGGTAGCATAGGACATGAAGACCAACACTACAGGAGATTATAGTTTTTATTGATTTTTTTTAAGTATAAAATTTGATAAAAATATGCAATACAATTACATAAATCAGGAAATCCCAGTTTAATTTGGGCCACAATTGCAGAACTGGTAAAAGGTACGTTAGCAAGTTCATTAAAAAAACAAAAAACTTTATTGAGTTTGTTAGCAGCAGGTAGGGGCAGAAGGCCAAAATGGGTGACAATGCTAATTGACTGATTTAAAAGAAAAAAGTATAAATGTAGTTTTGCATTGCAAACAACATTGTTATGACTAAATCACATAACTTTCAGGCTTCCAAACTCACATTTGTATTAAGATCTCATTATCATATATATATATATTTGAAATACTAAATTGAGTGTAATACTGAAGTATCAATTTCAGGAGGTAATCAAATAATAGCAATAAATTGAGATTTTACTGTAGTTTAATAATTTTACAATGTAAAATAGGTTATAAAAACATTTAAAGTAATAAGAGATACATTATAAAATTTTTTGTTTGAAATATGCTGGCACTTGATTTACTAAGTATCTGCTCCTTTCTAAGAAACTAACAAAAAAAATTTCATACATTAATTTTATATTTCATTTCAAGATTGCCATCAACAAATCACTAGTGATATACTTTAATTTTATCTTTAAAAATTATACTGTATTTTAATGATGCAAATTATCACCAGTAATACATTAACAATTAGTATTATTTCAAGTGATATGTTTTAAAATAAAACATTCTTCATTTGTTTATAAATAACTTTATGGTATCATCATATTAAAATGAATAAATCAAGTTAATTAGAGCAAACAAACAAAAGCCAATTTATGTATATCAGTTCACAAAAGTTTTAAACATATATTTATATAAATTTGTATTATAGTATATGTATAAAGAATGATAAGACTGGTATAAATCTAATAGAAAATTTATATTATGCAAATCAGATTTTTCCAAATTGTATTTGTTTGCTTTTTACTATAAAACAGTCATAACAATTAATAACTGTAGTGTTCCATAATTTAACCCTAACAATAAGACATTCCAAAAACAAGGAGTAAGACATCCCAAGAAACATGTAATTAATTTGTATTCAGTTTGAGAAAAGCTAATAAAATAAAAAAAACAATGTTTCTAATATATTCCAATTTATAATCACTCCATTTTTAACAAAGTTTGCCATTTATAGTTTGAAAATGTTTCAGATTTTAATAATATACTATATTACCTTAAAGCCAAATAAAATTAACATTAGTAGTCCAATACTTGAATTTTATGCATTTAATTTGTAAAAATAACTATTAATAAAAATATGTTTGATATACATCATATTTAATTTTATATCAGAATTAAACAAATTATATTTGCTTACTGAAAAAAATTTTTAAATCATTTTTAGACTGTTCACATTAAAAAAATTTTATATCTTGAAATGTAATGTAATATAAAGATGATAAATCCTATTGATGATACAGAAAAGAGTCTTGTATATCATTGGTGATATGTATGATTGCCAATATGTTAAGTTTTTATTAAATACTATATTATTCAATATTTAATAACAATCATATGCTTTTTTATATTATTTCTTGAATTAATAAAAAATATAAAATAAAAATATTTTTCAAAATCATCATCATATAAATTAAATACTAGAATAATTTTCTGAAAAATGGTTACAGATAATTCTGATATATAAAGAAACATGTTCAGTCAAATTTTTTAATTTTTTGAAAATACTGACTGCATTATAAATATCAAATTCCAATTCTTTAGAAACCCAAAATATTTTATTAAATGCAGATACAGTTTTAAAGTTTTAAAATCTTTTCTGGAGTTAAAAATGTTAAATCTAGAAAAGTGTTGACGTTTTTATAATTTAACTTTAATAATTTCATAAAAAGATCAGTGTTTTAAACCAAAAGAAAATTATTTCTATTCAACTAGTATTTTCAAACTAAATACAATCATTATCAAGTCTACTTAACTAAAATATAACACAGATTCAAATACTTATGGCCAAATTAGGAATTTAACTATAGTATACTCACTCCTCTTAGCCATTGTTTTTTCAACCTTGGTTTGAATATATTAAATAAAAAAAATTCAAAGCTATGAATATCTAAGTTTTGTAAAAGCCACTAACCTTGACAACTGTTTACCCAATCTCCTGTGAACACAGTGATGTTATAGCATCCATAGTGTAAATAATATCCATACTTGTGATATTGATATAAATACTGTGTGGAGCTTTATATAGAACTTATTTTGCTTAATACTGCTGTATAATTTTTTAATTAAAAACTGTATTATATGTAGTTATGTATGTAGATGTGTTAAAACACCTGTAATCCAGTCAAAATGAACCAATTTATTATGAGAACATTTTCAACTGCCTTCAACAGTCATCTTCATATTATAGAATGACACACATCAAAATTCAAAAAATAAAATTTAAATAAAATAAAATCCATGCTGGTTGTCATATGCATAAAAGAATGCCAAAGAAAACAAAATGAATTAAAATAAAAATACAAAACAATATAATGGTTAAATAAAGTACATATAATAGATATAAGTACAAATAAAAATAAATATAAAAAGAAAATCAAAATAAAAGTAACTAAAAATATTATATATTGTTCAGTACAATCTGAGGTTTCAAGCATTTGTAGGGAAGTATCTCCACAGATAAAGAAAATATTATATTTAAATGAAAATTATGTTATCTTTCAATATTAAAAACAAATATAATAATAAGATGTTCTAACAAATAACATTGTGACAGAACTAAAAATTATTAAAAACAACAGCACCTGATCATGAACACAACCAAAAATAACCAGCAACTGTTATGTTTACATGTTTCAATTTAAAAGTGTAAAGTGGTAACACAAAGGCATAATTTTTTTTGGCTATACAGAAGTATAGCTAAAAAAATGTTGAAGTTCATTTGACACGTTCTATAAAAACCTTCATAAAAGATTTAAAGACAAAATAAAAAAAAGTATGGTGACAAGATGCAAAAAACAGAATTTTATATATATATATATATATATATATAAAACAAG